AATTTAGAATTAAAGCAAGTATGGACTTTGCCCAATATCTTGTTACTGAAGATTTAGCCATTATTTTTGTCATTTCACAGAACTTGAGTTTTTAATCAAACTACCTAAGCATCTAAGTTTTATTATGTTGCTCCCAGTAGTAAGCCCGACATTGACTATTAAGCAAATATCTAATTGGTATATTAGAAGTGTGGTTCCTTTAGGAATATAAATGGTTAAAGGACTTCTCCCCCAAACACTAGTGTAATTTCTCCAGCTCATCCATCTTACATTGAAAAAAGCAAGAAAGGAAACATCACAGCTTTCTGATACCTCTGGAGGTTCATGTTTATATCCAAAGGGACCTAAGGAATAAAAATCATCAAAACAACTTCACAATGAGCTCATGGGGCACCAAGCTCATTGATAAGCAGGTCAGATGGAATCTAGTTTTAGAGCCAATTATTATTATCCTTGGTGAAGTGAAATCAGACTGCATCCTCACTGCATTTCATACTTTTAGACCTTTTCAGCACCTTCTATAGAAAAGCTATTTTACTTAAATTACTACTTCATCTCTCTTTCTCTCTCTCTCTCTCTCACTCAGGCACACACGCACAGACACACACACATACAAACGAGGCCTCAAATAACCTCATGTTAAGTTAACTAGATAACCTGCTAGAATTTACCCTCTTTCTAGAAGAAGGAAGGATATGGAAATAGGTAAGATTTCTTGTCTAAAATTCTTTTATGAAGGAATTTCACTAAGAAAGGCTCTACATTTAAGTTCTGGTAACACTCATTAGAAACTTAATCCTTAGCCCTTGTTCCTATGACAGTTGGAACATAAGGTAAAAATTTCTCTACCTTAAAAAAAAAAAGCTAGGGTTTCACTCTTTTGCTGAGCCTAACCTCTAATTTGCAATTCTCATACCTCAGTCTCCAAAGTGCTAGGGACTGGGATTACAGATATATACTATGACAACAGCAAAAATATTTCTCCATTAACGAATGATATTATACTTTATTAATCCTGAAATAAAATAGAAGTCTATTGGCGTATCATTTACCTAATATTGCTTCTCTGAATACCGTTTGACTCTAATCAGGTCTCCAAACAAATCAGCTTCAATTGAGGACTTTCTAACCTATCCTCACACCAGAATGTTTTGGGGATGCATAGACTGATCATCTGATAGCCAGAGAAGTCACTGAATCTGTACACCTATAGTTCACAGTGTAGCTCTGTGGTCTGGTTGTTAAACTTTGGGGAAGTAAACAAGTTTAATGCAGCCCTGGAATAAAGGATGCTCAGCTTGGAAATCCCTGCAAATGCTGATAAAAAACAAAAATAGGAATTGTACCGTACCAAGCAGTATAATCAGGAAATATTTTGCTTTTTCCACATTATTGAATATGTTGTCTGTGTAGAGCATTGCTGTTGTATCAGATTCCACTGTGTATAAAACATCACATATATGACATAAATTCTTAGGAAGCAAGCCCATTAAAGAATTAGTGTATGAGAGAGATTTAATTTGCTTTGCAACTGTATTTTGTAATCTGATAGAAAAATAGAATCTGCAGAGACTTTGAGAGAGCCAAATAAATGAATTTGCTTGGGACTAAAGATTTAATATCAACTAATATAGCTAAGTGAATATCTAAATATTTTCCAGCAATATTACAATAGGTACAGAAAGTTAATTTTTTATGTTATAGATATTTGACATTAAAATATCTTTTTTATATCTCTGTGCTTATATATATGTATGAGGAGGAGAAACAGAGAGAGAGAGAGAGAGAGAGAGAGAGAGAGAGAGAGAGAGAGAGAGAGAGAGCCTATAGTTAAATGTATCTTATTAGAAAATTATTGGTCTGTTTTTAAAATTTTTATGAATAGAGATTAAACATAAATTTAACCTTTATTTGAACTTTATTTTATTAATGGGCTGTAGAGCATATCTATGGTCTCCTGGTGAAAAGAACTACCCAATTCCCTAAAAGAATATATTGATGCACTTGAGTCCAGTCTGGACTGCATAGTGAGTTCAAGACCAAAGCAAACAAACACTAAGGATGTAGATAGTTGAGAGCTGGGAAGGAGGACTTTCATTTGTAAAATCAGAGAAGGGTCAGTTTTTAAAAATGAAGACAAGTGAGAACAGAGTGTGAAACTGCCTTCATAAGCAAATGGTTTTCAGAAAGGAACAGGTGTGAAAATGGAGAAACTGAAAAGTGATTTTCCTAAAAACTATTCCACATAACACTTGTTGGCTTTTTTCTTTTTTCTCTTGAATTGAAATAGTTGTATTCTGAATTGATCTCCATTGACATGGTGGAATCATATACTTAAACTAGCTCAACCAGAATTTAGGGAAGCAAAAATAAAAGAGAAAAACAATATGAAATGTGGCTGAGCTCTGTTTGCTATTCCAATTCCTGTATTTGTTCTGTAAAGTTCTGGTTCTCCATGCTGGCTCTACTTTAGAAACATCTGGGATGTTGGAAAGACCTTAAGTGATTCTAATATTCAGGAAAGTTTGAGGAAAAGCTTGCTGTAGGAAAGAGGCAACACAGTAAGGAACACCAGTGCTTATGAAAGAAATCCATGGATAAATTATGTCAAGGATTTTAAGAATTTCCCCTAAAAGATGACAGAGCTAGTTAAAAGAATGAAGAAATAAATGGTCAGGCAATAGGATGGTGATTGCATCAGTACAGCCTACAGAAATTAGTTGGAAGCTACAAAGACAAATTGTTTTTTGAGAATCATAGAAATTGATAAAAAATAATCTAGAGTTCTAAGGTAGAGTATTTTAACAGACTTTCATATGTCATTTTGTCTCTGTGTGATATTTAATTTAATTGAATTTGGAATTCAAGTTCTAATTTAATATGCAATTCTACTATGAACTTTTTTGCTTTTCTATTGCAATGTGATGTTTACACATTCCACTTTACCTAATGCTAAATATTCACTGCATCTAATGTTCTCATTGATGCCTTTATCTTTTTATATGGTTTCTCTGATTTGTTTTGAATGTACTTTGCAATCTTCATGTATCTTGAAGTTATGCAAAAACAATAGTGTAAGAAATTCTAATACAATTATGGCCTTGCTTAAGTACAAAAATATAATAAATTATATGTAAACCTCTTCCTCTGATACCATTTTTCAGAGAAGGTGGTTTAATATGCTTTCAAATTGTCCAGTAACTTTATAATTATCCTCAGAACTTAAATATAACTTCACTACTGGAACTGCATACAAAATATTTTGAGATAAGTTGAGTATGTTCAAGTTTCATATGGAAGTCAGAGAACCCTTAATTCTGAATATTCTTGAGTGAAACAATTATCTACTGTGAAAGATAACATTATAAACCTAACTTTTTAAAATTTCAGGAGCCTGTGATTTCACTTTGACCAGGTATGTGGAAAATCGGGCAATCCTCAATAAACTATAGCTTCCAGCTTGTCTCCTCTAACTGGAAGTATATGATAGTCTTGTTCTTTTATCTCATCAATTAAAGCTGATGGAAGAACCCCATACACTTTGAATAAAAAATTATTAAGAATATGATCTCTGAAGTTAAGCACACATTCATACTACACCATCCACTCGCTGTCGTAAACATAAGACTAGATTTTTTTCCTATTGTAAATTAGGATGGGTAGGAGAGAACCTTCAGCATAGGAAAAGTATGAAGCTATTTTAAGTGACTTCATATATGGTAGTAAGTAGGGTATATTATAAAAACAGAACTTAACTGAAATAGATAAAATAATAGTAATAATAAATTAAAATTGAAATATGAAGGAATTATATATGGTCACTCTAAATAATCCTTTCTCATTAATATTTTTTGGTTCTGCTTCATTAAAAGAACAAATCCAGGAGCAAAAAAGGGTTTTGAATAGTGTAAAACTGGATTATTATTGAACCTAGTCTCTTTGTTAATAACTAGTATAAGTACAAATGATTCTAATTACTCTGAAAGTTGCATCAGAAACTCCATCAACCTGTGTATGTTTTCCTAAAACTGTCTGCAACTGAATGTTTCCTTATATATGTACATCAATAAGGATATATAGATCTGTAAGGCTATACAGATACACACACATATATGTATAAATATAAATATAAGGATGTATTTCTTAGAATATATTTTCGGAATATGTAGCTAAAAGTACATCAAATTAAGGTAAGCGTTTTGGATACATTAGTCCTTCTTTGAAATATATTGGTGTATATTTATGAGGAAAGATATTTACATGCATGTAGTGCAGAATAATGGGTTATTTGATAAATTACTTGATGTATGTTTGCTCCTTAGGTAAGAAACTTTAAAATGTGGTGAACTTTGAGTTGGGAAAAATTATAACTTTAATTTCTATGTAAGTAACATGATATGTTTTCTTGTATTCTGATCAGTTTTAGCTCCCAAAGCATAATTACGTATTCTGTAAATACAGAAGGGCATATAGGAAAGTGTGTAGATCTTGGGAGATACACACTTTTTCTAATACATATTAGTATTTAAAATTATCTTAATATATTTTCAATACATCTTATGTGAGCATGCACAAAATTGAAAAATAAGGGAATATAAATATGGATCTATTTATGAATTGCACATTTTGGTACTGCTATACTTATATATGCATAGCAAAGACAGTGTTAGTAAAAACAATGAATTATTACTGTCAGTCATGTCCAAGCATTTCATAATAATTAATTTTTGAATGCAATAATATCCGCTATTATTTTCTAAAATTGCAAAGCTAAGTAATTCTTATGAAGACTAACTTGAAAGAAAAAGACTTCTCCCTTGAGAACAATGAAGAACTAAGAACTCTCATTAGAGAGTTAGGTGCACATTTCATTCACATGATGACATCATTCTGAGCAAGAAGATGCCAATGATATTTTTCACCCAAGATTGGCAGGGGTCGTGAAAAATGACATTTTTATTTTTCAGCTACAGCAAAATTCACAAAATCTGCTAAATTTAATGGCTGAAGTTAATGTCACATGTGTCACTGAATTCATTCTCAAAGGAATCACAGACCGTCCAGAACTTCAGATACCCTGCTTTCTGGTGTTTTTAGTTATTTATCTGGTTACAGTGCTGGGCAATCTTGGGTTGATTACCCTAATCAGGATTGATACTCGACTCCACACACCTATGTACTTCTTCCTCAGTCATTTGGCCTTTGTCGACCTTTGTTACTCCTCTGTTATTACACCAAAGATGATGGTGAACTTTGTTGTGGAGCACAATACTATTTCTTTCAATGTTTGTGCAACACAGCTGGGCTGCTTTCTCACCTTCATGATCACTGAGTGTTTCCTTTTAGCTTCCATGGCCTATGATCGCTATGTCGCCATCTGCAGTCCCCTGCATTATTCAACACTGCTGTCAAAAAGAGTCTGTATTCAATTAGTAGCAGTTCCTTATATATACAGCTTTCTGGTAGCCCTCTTCCATACCATTATCACCTTTCGTTTGACTTACTGTGGTCCCAATGTGATTAACCATTTCTACTGTGATGATCTTCCCCTCTTAGCTTTATCCTGCTCAGACACACACATAAAGGAAATTCTGATTTTTGCCTTTGCTGGTTTTGATATGATCTGCTCCTCTTCCATCGTCCTCATCTCCTACCTCTTTATCATCTCTGCTATCCTAAGAATGCGCTCCACCCAGGGACGACGCAAGGCCTTTTCCACCTGTGGTTCCCACATAGTGGCTGTTACTATTTTCTATGGTACACTGATCTTTATGTACCTTCAGCCCAAATCCAACCATGCCCTGGACATGGACAAAATGGCTTCTGTGTTTTACACAGTGGTAATCCCCATGTTGAACCCACTAATTTACAGCCTAAGGAACAAAGAAGTGAAAAATGCTTCCAAGAAAGCCTTGGATAAATGTTGTAAAACTTTAAAAACATTAAAATTAAGAAAATAATAATATTTTATTAAGTATGAGCAGAAAAGTCAAACTTTTTCCTACAATTATTTCCCAACCAATCAAGAATGTGACTGTTACTTTAACAAATTTTGGCATTTTCTGTGAGAACCCAAGTGGATCTTAGAAAGTCCCATTCATTGCCAGGCATGGTGGCTTACATTTGTAATCCCAGCACTCAGAAGGTAGAATTAAGGACAGTTGCAATTTCGAGGCCGAGGCCAGCCTGTATGCAGTGAGAAGTGTCTCCAAAGTAAAAACAAACCAAAAACGGGCTCTCCTGTTCACATAGCTTTAACAGATCACTTAAGTCATGTTCAAATACAAATACAGACTCCTTCACACAAGTGATCATAAGTATGTGTATTCCAGCCTGCGGCAGGGCAGTGCTTTTGTTAAGGCTCTGGACAAGACTGCCTGGGTCTGAAACTGTTTTCTTTACTTATTATCCATGTAACCTTTGATAGTTGGCTGCTATTCTGTGTAATATTCTCAGTACTGGAAAATAATAAGACGCATTGCTATCCCTTGAGGATTGCATGGGTTAATATTCATGAAATGCGTTGAATTAAATCAAGTCTAGTGTTTGTTAAATGGTAGTTATATGAATGTTTGTTATATGAAGTAAAGATTAAAATGCATTGGATTCTCAGTCATTAAGTTGCAGAGACAAAGACTAGCTGTTTTCTCTTCCCTGTCATGCATTTGGTCAAGCAGTACTATGTATTACAATCACACAAACCTAAGAGGTTTCCTCACGGGTGTTTCAGTCACTTATAAGTTGCCTAACTTCACATAAATAGTAATATGAAAATTCTAAATGTAAAATAAAGTCTGTTTGAGGTTTGTTTACTTAACCCTGTGGGTGTTAAGAATGAAGGTATTAAGGGGGTGATTTGTGCCTGTAATCCCAGCTATTCAGGAGGCAGACATCAGGAAGATAGTGGTTCAAAGTCACCCTGGGCAAATAGTTCATGAGACCCTATCTAGAAAAACCCTTCACAAAAATAGGGCTGGTCTGAATTCAATCCCCAATACCACACACAAAAAAGAGAATAAAGGTAATAAGTTAATTAGATTTTTAAATATAGTTAGAAGAACATGGCCTCTAAAAATTATGCTTAGAAATTAATATGTTCAATGTATTTGAGTATTTGTTCAATTAGAAATAACTATGGGTTACTATGTCACCCATAGTGATGCTGTTTATCCAAATATCCTTATAGATCATGACACATCATAAAAACAGTGATTTGATATGAATTTATTATTTTAACATTCCAGAAAAGAAATCAAACTAGTGATTTATCCTATTATTTTCCATTTTAAAAGAAGATTATGATATCTGCAGCCATTACAACTATAGCAGCATGAAGGGAGTCCAGCAATATGACCTGGCACTGAATCTGTCACTAAATATTCAAAGTCAAGGTAATTTTGCTAGTGAATGCAGAGACACTGGAGACCTAGGGAAAATATCCATGCTCTTAAGATCATACAAATCCATGGTATTAAACTTTGGTATTTTCCGAGATTACTTGTGCCATAACCTGGAAATATAAGATACCACAAATTGATGTATTTCAAAAGAATCAAAATTTCTCAATGTCACACAGAGCTCAGAGAAGGCCTCTATTTCCCAATACTGTTTCATTAGTTATTATGAAGATGTTGTGGTTAAAGATCAAAATCTCTTCTCTTCTCTTCCTTTCTCTCTTCTTCTTCTTCTTCTTCTTCTTCTTCTTCTTCTTCTTCTTCTTCTTCTTCTTCTTCTTCTTCTTCTTCTTCCTTCTCTCTCTCTCTCTCTCTCTCTCTCCCTCTCTCTTCTCTCTATCTCATCTCTTTTTGAAATTAAACAGCTCAAAATTTACAAAATGTCTTTCATGTGGAAATCTCTAAGAATGAAAAAGTGGGTTGAGGCATGCCCTGAATGAGTATAAGCACTCAAAGTGAGGAACATATCTCTAGCATTCACCAGATTTATGATTCTAGGTAAGAAAATATTCAAAGTCCACTAATCTTTCTCCATTGATTCTTACATTATTTGATAGGCAAACATAGCTTTTCTATAATTCTCAAGCTATAGATCAGTGGGTTTAACATGGGGATCACTACCACATAAAACACTGAAGCAAATTTATCTGTGTTCAGAGAATGGTTGGATTGTCCCATAAAATATTGTGATGGAGGTCAAGTGGGAAGCACAGGTAGAAAATGCTTTCCATCTTCCTCCAGTGGAATGAATTCTTAGGATGGCAAAGAAGATGAAGATGTACGAAATGATTACAATCACTAGAGAGGAAAGGGTATTGAACCCAGCAATGACTAACAACAGTATCTCTTTGACATGAGTGTCAGAACAAGCCAGAGCAACTAAGGGAACATCATCACAATAGAAGTGGTTGACCAAATTGGAGCCACAAAAGGACAAGCGGAAGGTTGCCACTGTGATTCCATAAATGTATGTACTGGCAATCAGTTGAACACAGAGTTTCCTCGGCATGAGAATGACATAAAGTAAAGGGTTATAGATGGCTACATAGTGGTCATTTGCCATGATTGACAGCAAATACATTTCACAAACTACAAATGAAATAAAACAGCACACCTGAATGGCACATGCATAAAATCTTATGCTTCTAACCTCGCGCAAAAAATTCACCAGTGTGCTGGGAGTGACAGAGGAGGTATAACATAAATCAACAAAAGCTAGATGGCCAAGGAAAAAATACATGGGTGTGTGAAGCTGGGGAATGATTTGGATTAGAACAATCAATCCAAGATTGCCCATCACACTACCTAAGTAGATGACTAAAAACACACCAAAGAGAATGACTTGAAGCTCTGGATTATTTGTGAGTCCCGAAAGGATGAACTCTGATACCACTGAATGATTACTATTGGCCATAGACCAGGAATAGATGTTTTCTACAAAAGCACACTTCAGAACACACATTGAGCTCAAAATTCCTCCTGTATCCAATAATCTAGTGGAGGTGAAGAGATGATTCTCACTTGTTGATCTTAAATTGAACACACTCAAGGAGCATATTCCTGTTGATCCTACTTTCACAATGAAATGCTTTGTCCTGGATGACAATTCTAAAACATGCAGCTGCATAGGGATTCATAAAGATGGAAAGATTGTGTTTTAAAATTTTTCATAGCTGGACCATCTGTCTCACAACTGTTTTCCATGACAAAAAAGAGATTGAAAATTACTTAAATACCAATAACAAAAAACAATGTTATAATTATTGAAATACTTTTCAACATTTCTTTTGGAAATTTTAATTAGTAAAAATAATAAATTTAAAAATTGACTCCAGAGAGCTCATATAAATGATTTGTAAATAAAGCTTTGGAAACTGGTGATCCCTATATCATATGTTCAGGATGATTTTTAACTTCTATTTTGTTCTTTTATGTATCCATAGTTCCTAGACTTTCTTCAGTCATTTTGTAGAATTTGTACAGTAAATGGAGTAAAAAACCCAATTGAATAGCATTGCTTTTATTGAAATATCCATAGGATTAAAAATGCACTACATGAATAAAAAACACATTTATCATGTGTCTTCAAATGCCTGAATGCAAAGTGGATGAAGGAAAAAAATTTAGGAGGAATTCCTGGGGGTACAAATTGGTCCCTGACTAATTAAAAGGATGAACAGAAGAAATAAATTAGATTTTTCTCATCATTTTATCTTACCTTATATCTATATATAAAGCCTGTTATGGCTATCAACTTAATCATCAAATGTAGAAACTGAGACTGAGAGCTTACACCTTCTCTGTGTTTCTTGACTAGCACATGTTGAAGCAGAATAAGTCATGTATCTTGATCCTCTGATTCCAGTATAATTCATGCACACCATCTCCTTTTGGAGAAACAGAAATTTCCCTATCACAGTAAATCAGACAAGGTTTGAAAGGTATTATCTGTTTTCATCCATATTGAGTGCTTAGAATAGTGACTACCTATCTCTTACTATGTGCCAAATAAATACACCAATTTTTGCTCTGCATAGTATTTCTTAGATTGATATTCACTCAGCAGACACCTGTGTGCAGTCCCTTCAATTTTTCATCGTTTTTTTTTTCCTTTTATTGTTGTGATGAGTGGGGGTACATTGTGACATTTATCATAGTGGAATTCACCCCTCTACGACTCTCCTTTATCCTCCACAGCCCCCATTCCTGGAATAGTTTCAACAGTGATCAATTTTACATTTACATACATGTGTACACAGTATTATAATGGTAACTATAGGAACACGATTTTTTCTTCAGTATTTTGAAATGTTCTTTTATTACCTTACTGACGTGTGATCTCTTATCCTTATTTCTCCTTACTCTTATTCTTTTTAGTACTTACATTGATGCACAGTGAAACCTGTGTACCCTCAGTTCTAATAGTATCAAACGTTCTATTATTTTCAATTCTTGGGTTCTTCTTTTCCTAAAATAAAACTTGGGTCCGCCTTGAAAACGTACATCTCTTCAGATTACTTCTATGGTTGATTTGAAACTCTTCATATATTTCAAATTGGGCAGGTAAGGTAAGACTTTGTTGATCACTAGAACATTGTTGCACATCTGTTATCACATATTGTATTTTTTTATACTACTTGGATGCTTTTTGCCCTTTTATACCTTTATGGTTTATCACTTTCATATTTCCAGCTCTTTCATTTTCTACAAATTCTTTTTCAGTAGCTATGCACACCACATATTTAACATATAGCTTCAGCAACCTCACCATCTTTTCACCTAAGCTTCTCAGTCCCATGGATTCATTTTCAAAATTATTTTTAAAGCTTTTTTGAGAATATATTCATTGTACAGGGAGTGAATTGATTGTGACAAATCAAATAAGCTTATATTGTACATTGGTTAGATCACCCCATCATCTCTCTTCCTTAACCTCCTTTGAAAATTATTTTATCTCTAAATTAATCAAACATCCAAAATTAAAACATTAGTTTGTGATCACAGTCTTCTGCCT